TCAGCTGCTATGTCTTCATATGTGAGCCTTCGGTGTTTGGACCAATATGAAGACAAGCAAAAGACATTCTTTGAGCTCAAGATGGTTTTCTCAAAAAACGTGCCGTTGCAGAAACCAAGTTTTTTGCATCAATCCCTCCTTTTGCACCTAAAATACTTATTGCTCGTAACTCTACCCTTCTTAATCTCTGTGCACAAACTCATACCTCCTCCCCCTCCCGCAAGAACAAACGCGTACCAGGAATAACAATCGAAGAGAGGCCATCCACCTCTCGAAGTCTTCGTCTGAAAGGGCGAGCCTTTCATCAAGCGTCTTACGATTCAGACAAATAAGAACATCTATAACTAATAATTTTTTTGAAGCTAATGTTATCTTCGGTAATCTCGACTTATAAGGCAAGAGATACCGTTGCTTGAGGGCGGGATAAGTATAATTATATTAGATCTTAGCTTTCATTCTTGGAGTCATACAGGAAGTTTGACTGTGCATGACTGCATTGCACAGTTGACGGATTCGAGACCGAAGCTGACACCACGAAAAGCTGTAGTTTTGCCACTACACTATGCTGCACTTGGTATGCGAGCGTCTTAACATATATATAAACGAGCAAAGAAGCAGCGATTGAGAGGCGACAACGCAGTAGCCCTGCTGCGGCGCCGCGCCTTGTTGCTCTCCCCTTCCTCTTTGTTGTCCTCCCCTCCACCTTGCTGCTGCCCCCTTTCCTTTGACGCTGTCCTGTTCTCTTTTGCTGCTGTCCCCTTCACTGTCCCCTTGTTCAACTTTCCCACAGAAACACAACCAACCAATCAGTGCGCTGGGGCCATCAAAGTGCAAGAGTGCCTTTTGTAATACTAGATAGTTCAGTGAGAGATGTGAATCTTTATTCGTGCTGGTGTAGTGTTTAGACTAATTTCTTATTGCCTTTATCAAAACACAATAAATTGAAATTGCGCTACATGCAGCCGGTGCGATTATGTACAGTATGCATAGCTCACTGACAACGGTGAGAGATGCCACCTCACTCCTCTGATGCACAGTCTACGCAACCACTCTAGGGCTTCTTACACACAGTTATGTAGAAAGCGCAAAAAATACTTGACTTCAAGAAGTTTTCTTCTGGATTTGAGAGAAAATGAAATCGGTTGTCCTACCCAACTCATTGGGCTCAAGACCGTCTATTTCACTGTAAGGCGTTCTGTGAATAGATTTTCCTGAAGAGAGGGAAAAAGCCGAGAGAGCACCAAGTGTTTCTCTTTCCACCAAGAGCAGAGAACATAGAAACACAAGTAAAAAAAAGAAAGTTCAAGAGACTTCTTTCCTCTTACTCCTCCTCACCTATAGTTTACGGCACAGATTCTGACCGGAACGAAGAACTCATAATCTAGAGATTCAAGGTTCGTTGACGTATTCCAGAAAAATCTACGGCGCCGCGAACACGATCTGAACCTGTGCGGGTACAGCCCATTTGACTTCTAGTCAAACTCTTTAACCAATAGGACATCGCCGTATGCAGTACGATGTTCATCCAGTCTCAAAAAAGCTAGTCAATCATATCATTTCTCTCACCTACACTTTCTTTCTTTTTTAACACAGCGAGAAATGAAACGTGCGACACGCAGTAGTGGTCTTAATTCCTACAGTCTTTATCAGTAGCGTCGGATGAAACAAATGTTTTTTTCTATAAAAAAGGTTTTCAGGTATAGAACGGTACTTCTCAACACAGATGAGGTCAAAGACGCTGTTCGTCAGACGCTCCTGGCTAACGGTCGTTCGCACTGGGTTCACTCAGCGCAGATACTATGAACAGAACGAAGAACGAATAATTCAGCAAATGAAGGCTCCATAAGGTATTAAAGAAAAACCTACGGCGCAGCGAACAGGATCCGAACCTGTGCGCGCAGAGCTTCGTTGATTTCTAGTCAAGCTCTTTAACCACCCTGACATCTCCCCATACGGCGCGATCTTCATCTAGTCTCAAAAAAGCTAGTCAATCATATTTTCTCTCACAGCTACAGTTTCTTTCGTTTTCCACACAGCCAGAAACGAAACGTCCCACACGCAATAGCTGTCTTAATTCCTACAGACTCTCACTAGCATGGGATGAAACAAATGTTCATTTCCATAAAAAACGTTCGCAAGTATAGCCAGTGTACTTCTCAACACAGACGCTCGTGTATGAGGAACATTCGAAACTTGTCTGCTCAGCGTAGATATTCCGAACAGACCGAAGAACGAATACTTCAGCGAATAGAGGTCCGCTAAGGTATTAAAAAAAAACTACAGCACGGCAAACAGGATTTGTACCTGAGCGAGCAAAGCAATTTGAGCTCTAGTCAAACCCTAAACCACTCCGACATCTCCGCACACGACACCATCTTTATCTGGTCTCAAAAAAGCTAGTCAATGATATTTTTTTCTCTCAGGTACACTGTCTTTTCTTTTCTAACAGAGCCAGAAATGAAACGTGCGACATGCAACAGCGGTTTTGATTGCTACAGTCTTTATCACTAGCGTAGGATGAAACAAATATTTTTTCTATGAAAAAGGTTCTCAATTCTAGTGCCATACCCGAGAACTTTTTTTATAGAAAAAAATGAAAAAAAAAACTTTTTTATGGAAAAAAAACCTTTTTAATGAAAATTTTTTTTTAGAAAAAACACGTGTTTCATTATACGCCAGTAGTAAGGACTGTAGCAACTAAGACCGCTATCGCGTGTCACACATTTTATTTCTCGCTGTGTCAGAAAACCAACGAAAGAGTAGGTGTCACTGACTAGCTTTTTTCAGATTAGCTAAAGAGCGTACCGTATGCGGCGGGTTAAGCAGTTTGGTGGTTAAGCAGTTTGACTAGAAATCAAGTGAGCTCTACCCGCACAGCTTCGAATTCTACTCGCCGCGCAGTAGTTTTTTCCCTGACACCTCATGAAGCTTTATTTCCTGAATTATTACTGTTTTGTTCTGTTTGAAATATCTACGCTGTGTGATCAAGTTTCGAATGACGGTCATACAGGCGCGTTTAGCGAGCAGCGTGTTTGACGGCCTCTGTTGAGAGGTATAGAACTATACTTGAGGAAGTTGTTTATAGAAAAAAACATGTGTCTTATTATACGCCAGTGATAAAGACTGTAGCAACTAAGGCCGCGATTATCCGTCGCACGTTTTATTTCTCGGTCTGTTAGAAAACGAACGAAACCGTAGGTCAGAGAAAAAATATGATTGACCAGCTTTTTGAGACTAGATTAATAGTCT